CTGGGCTGAGGCACACAGCCTTCCGGCCGTGACAATTGGCGGACGGGGTGCCACCCTGCGCCCTGGCCCTGGGGAAGTTCGAGGTGGCTGACCCGAGGGGAATAAGCCTACAGAGGAAGAAAGGGTGGCAGTGGTGGTGTGTGTTGGGAAAAGGGGTGGGACAGGGAATGGGCCAGCAGACCACGCTGCGCTGGGGGTCTGTGCTGGCCACTGCCGGAGTGGTCCAGGGCGGGGCCGGGGCTCAGAGCCAACACCAGAGCTTGCTGGGGGCATGTGGGAGGGGCCACTCCTGAACCCAGCCTTACTGCGGTGTTCGTCCACCGGGTGGGTCATCCAACCACCGATGTGCCCCGAGTGCTGGCTGGAGGTTGTGGACACTAGAGGGGCTCCCAGGCAATGACAGACACACACGCAGTCACGACGGACAAGGGCCAGCACTGGGACGGTCGTGGTACTCAGGGAGCCCCTGGAGAGCCTAACTCCTGAGGAAGAAAGTGGCTCCAAGGCTGGGCTTCCCCTGACGGTGAAGGGAGGGGAGGGAGTCTGGGCACCGTGCGGAGCTGTCACCGCCACGCAGCCCTTCTTCCTGAAGAGCTGAGCCTCTTCCGTGATGCCCAGGAGAAAGGTCCCGTTATGGGTACCTACGGCTGCAGGCACCACCACAGTTGTCACAGGGGTCACTGGGAACCTGCACAAGTGACCTCACGGCCCCATCTGCATTCCCTTATCTGAAAGACAGGGCAGGCGTGGATGGTTTCCAGAAGGCTTCCCAGGCCTACAACTCCACATTCTATGACCTTCCAGTTTAGTGAGAGGTGGTGCGGAAATTCTCTTCGCCAACCGAGTTCTCCTCTGCACTGCCTGTTTGGAGGAACCCCATGGCAGACACTGGTGCCAGTAATACAGATCTGGCGTGTGGATTCTCTGGAAGGCTTTCCTTAAGACAAGACCTATAGTCGTGAGGCTTGTGGGACCCCCATGAGTCACAATTCCGGGTCTGCCACCTCATCTGATCTCCTGACAGCCCCACACAGGGGACAGGACACATGACAAGGAGCGTCCTGTGCAACTTCACCTGTGTTCCTGGGAATGGGACGTGACAGGGACACCCCCACCCCACCTGCGGAGCTCCCTGCCCTGCTTCCCGGGCACAAATAGGAAGTGAGCTCAGGGCTTCCCGGCCTCTAGGTCTGAGGAAGTCTCCAGGGACCGGGGCTTGGGCTGCTGAGCAGAGCAGGCGGGGGAAGCTCGGGCTCCTGTTTCCAGCTGTGTGGGAGGGCTGGCGTTCGGCAGACCTGCAGAGGGCCACTGGCCTGTGAAGGGTGTGAAGAAGCACCTGATCCCAGCCTCCCTCCCACCAAGTGCAGTGAGCTGTCCAGAGAGGTCTTCCCACCTGCCTTAGCTCAGCGCCAAGCTGTCCTCCACAGCAGCTGTGTGGGTCTGATCCGGAATCCCAAGCCCAGCAGCCTGGACCCTTAGCAGCTGCTCCCGCCAGCCCTGCAGAAAGAGCCCCCCGGCCATCACCATGGCCCAGGGTGCGAGCTGGCCTGGACTCCCCTCCCAGAGAGCCTGAAAGCGGGGGCAAGGGCCGGCTCCCCACAGTTCAACAGTCTGCAGGAAACTTCTGCAGCTGCTCAGTGCTTCGGCAACTGCGCTGCGCCCTGGGGATGGAGAGGGATATGCTGATGCCCTCACCCTCAGGGGACTCACTGCATGGTGGGGGAGACACCCAGCAGACCCCCTAACATAACTGGCTCCGTCTAGGAAAGCAGGGAAGACACGTCAGCAGGATGATACCTGAGGGCAGACGAGAGGTGATTCTCCAGCCCTCCCTGCTCAGGGGAATTCAAGCCCAGGGGAGTCCCCTTCCTCTCTCAGCATCCAAAAGGCAGCTATCAACGCCCCTCCTCCCCCAGCTAGGAGCTCCCCCTTTCCCTTCGAACATGGACCCCTGGGGAACAGGCAGTACCCCCCTGGGGTACAGCCTCCATGCTGCCCCCTCCCCCACACTCTGTGCCCTGCCCTCTGGAGGCCCAGGGCCGCCCCTGGAGAACCAGCCCAGGCATGCCAAGTTTCCCTCCTCTGCCCTTTCTGGGGTGGCCACATCCCTCAGCCCTGGCCAAGGTGTCACCTGATGCCTTGGTAACCCCCAGTCGTTTCCTCCCTTCCCAGCCTGTCCCTTACCCTCCTCTGCTCAGCCCTGCTGAGACAGTCCACCCCACCCCCACTCTGGTTCACTCCCACCTCAAAGCCACCGAAGCAGCACTGAGCTGGGAAGGCCCACTCTCCCCCCACCCGTCCCTCCTCAAAACCTTTCCACAGCTCACTGTACCCAGCGCAAGAACCCCCATCAGGACCCCAGCCTCGAACCTGTGTGCCCCCTGCACCCCTCACCTTCACTGAGCCTCAGGCCCCCTAGGAAATCGTCTCCCACCCCACGCTGGCCCTTCTGCGTTAACATTCTCCACAGAGACCCTCACCTCCTTCGGGAAGTTCTGCCTTCGGTCGCCTCTTCCCAAATGTTAGCATTTCTTTACACAAGTCTCCCTGTTCCACACCAAGTTTCTGGTTTTATTTCCACGGGGACGGGCGCCCCCACCCACGAGCAGACTCCTGCAGCTGGGGGCGCCCCAAGCCAACCAAGCGCTCCGTACACACGCTTTATGAATCGTGATAGCTGAGATTTACCGAGCTCTGACCACTAGCTGAGCACAGTGTCGGGCTTATCCCACAAGTTACCTTCACAGCAACCTGCAGGTCAGAGATTTGTTACCATTTTACAGATTAGGAAAGCAAGGCTCAGAGGTACAGCTGGCCATGTGATTCAACCAAACGAGTCCCAGACCAAACAGCCCCGGGAAGGGGTCTCATGCACTGTTGGGCCCCCTGGGGGGGGCAGTGCTGTTTCTGCCACAGGCTGCTCGCCCTGGTCAACCCGCCTGCCCCCTGAGAGGGGAGGCTCCCAGGGGGCCTGTCCAGGGTGAATCCCTTTGTTAAGGAGACTCACCCTATAAGCCTCTGTGTCTTCAGAACCGGATCACAGGATGCCAGCACTTTTGGGGATCACATTGTCCCTGATGACTGTGGCCCAGGTGGCCACACCTTCAGCAGGGCGGAGACGAGGCGGTCCTTACTGACCCCTCACAGCTACTACACGCCAGGCAGGTAGCCCCTCGGCCCTTGCTGGCCTCTCTGTCTGCAAATACCATAATAATCCCTTGCTGATGCACACTTTTCAAAGCATTTATTTTCACCGCACATTCTAATAATAGCATTAGGGGGGGACTCGGAAAGGCCAAGTGACTTGCCGCTGGGAACAGGGGGAGGTTCTGGTTGGTTTTCGTTCACCGCTTATCACACTCCTGCCATGCCAGCGCTGGGCTCGCGGTGGGCCTCCTGGAGAGACAGGGCTTCCGGACAGTGTCCAGAGCCCGGGGCCACAGCCCAGCCTTGAAGCCAGCGCAGTTGGGCTGGCAGTTGTTCCCACAGGCGGCTCCAGAGCCCCTCTTCTCGGGGCAGGAGGGTGGGGGTCTTGCCCCTCAGCCCCCACACTCTCAAAGCTCAGCCTCTGTAAGCGGGGAGATCTGGGAACTCGCCCATCGCCCTTCTTCCCTTCTGGGTGGCCCTAAGAGGCTCCTTACAGAGGAGCGCTCACCAAGGCCCCCGCTGAAGTCCGCCGGCCTGAGGGCAGGGCTGATGAGAGCACTTTCTCTAGCCTCTTCTCAGCCCTGCCAGAGTGCAAACCTCCAGAGACTGTCCCCCTCAGAGCTGTGCGATGTTCCTCACGCTGTGCCCCTCCTCCAGGGACACCCTTCGTGCCCTGGGAGCACCCTTCCCCTTTGGGCCAGGCTGGTGGAGCCTCAAGGCTGCCCGAGGAGGGTGCTCTGACCTCCGGCCCTCCCCCCCACCCAAGGTTCCCTGGGGTGCAAAAGCAGAGAGACTATACCGCGATTCCAGTGCACGCTCCCTCCGAGTTTCATCCCCGATGCCAGCACCTGCCAGCACCTGCCAGCAGCTGCCAGCAGCAGGGCCCCTTCCCTGCCTGGGCTCCCACCGCGGTCCTCCTGACCCCAGGGAAGGAGCGTCCCCCTTTCTCGCTGCAGACTCGGGCTCAGCGGGGCAAGAAAGATCTATCTGCACCTCTGTCTGCGGCTGAGACTCCAGCTGTTCCAAGGGCTTTGGAACTGCCACCTGCTCTGATAGCGTTCACAGCCACGGCCTGTCCTCCCAAAAGGGTAACATTTCACCTTTAGACAGAAATTGGGGGTGTTTCTGAGGTGCAGCCCAAGCGGCAAGAGTAAGTTCCTGTTCATGCCAAGCGGCTGGAGAGGGGCCTCAGTATCCCGGCCTTGAGCTAAGAAGGGATCCTTCGGTGAAACGGAGGCAAGGACCTCACTCAGGTGACTTCGGGACTGTGGATGGTCTACTTATTTCCCCTGCGCCCGCCCCAGCACCGGCTCGGCGGGCTGAGCCTGCACACACTGCCTGCAAAAACCTCTTTGCCATCGAGTAACACAGCGGGGTGGAGGCTTGTCACCTGCTTCGGGAACTTCGTCAGGAGCGCTCGGAGTGCCGTTTCGCCGGGAATCAACGATCACATGATACCGCCCCTCAACCCTTCCAACTCGGAGTAAAGGAGTAATCAAACCCTGGGGGTCCCGTGAAAGCCTGGAGCCGCGGGGTGCCCCAAGTCCCCGCTCTCTTTGCCCACAAACCCATTGAGCGCCAGCGCTCCTCCGTCTGGCCCGGTACAATCCGCTGCCCACTCCACCCGAACCGAGACCAGATGCAATCCGCGCTCGCGGCCCAGCACCTGCGGGTTCTCGGCTTTGAAAGGGGCGTGAATGCTGCAAGGTCAGACTCCGCGCGTGGCCCCAGCGGGAGGTGGGCGGACGGGCTGCTCCGGTCCGGCCCTGAGGCGCGGCGGGCTTCACCGCAGGCCCACCCTGCCAGAGGCGCATGGGCACGAGGGTCCCAGCGGGGCCCGGGCCACCACTCACCATTCTGGGAGAGCGACGGCAGCGGCGGCAGCAGCAGCAGCAGCGCCGAGAGGGCCAGCGCGGAGCTCATCGTGTCCTGGCCCCGGGCCCAGAGCAGGTGGCTGCGAGGTTGGCTGAGGCTCCGAGAGCCCGAGCGGTGAGAGCGTGGGCGCAGCGCGCGGAGGCCTGGCGGTGGCTGCGGCGGCCGGGCGGTGACCGGTGCTCCCGAGTCGCTTACTGGTGGCCCCTTCTCGCGGCCGCTTCTGCAGAGCCGGCTGGGGCTCGGAGCCAGGCGGTAGGGGAGCCGCAGGCGGCTGCGTCGCGGGCGGTGTCTGAGCGGCTGCGGCCGGGCGGGCGGCTGCGGAGACTCCCGTCCTGTCCGCGCCGGCCCCCGCCCCCTCCCCCTGGAGCGCGCTGGCGGCGGCCGGGCTGGGCAGGGCTGGGCGGGCGCTGGGCTGCGAACAATGAGCAGAGGAGGAAACTCCGCCCTGGAGAGCAGCGGGCGGGGGAGCGCGGCGGGAGCGCGGCGGGAACCGGCTGGGGTGGGGGGCGGTGCGGGCTGGAGTACTGTGTGTGTGTGTGTGTGTGTGTGTGTGTGTGTGTGTGTGTGTGTGTGTGTGTGTGTGTGTGTGTGTGTGTGTGTGTGTGTGTGTGTGCGCGCGCACTAGCCAGCGCGCAGGTGGTGGGGGTGGGGTGGGGGGTTGCCGGCGGGGGTGTCAGTGTGTGTGCAGGACGGTGAGGGGGGAGGGGGTGCTCCACACTGGACCGCTCCCGGTCTTGGACTCACAGGTGTAGGCTGCCTTGATTTGGTGGGTTCCCGCGAGACCCTCACACCGCCCATGCCCTCGCACGCTCGTATCCTGAGCAAGGCGAGCCCCCCCCCCTTCCCCGCCCCGGCCCTGCGTGTCCGCTAAGGACCATTCGAGCCTCCAGGTTGCAGCGCGTCCTGCAACGCTCGGGAAGCCTGTCTCCCACCTGCCAGGTGCAACTCACCTGGGGGCGAACCCGCACCCCGCAGGCCTTCTGAGCAGGTCTGTGCTGCTGCAGAGTGCGCGCACCGGGCAGCCTGGACTAATTAGTTGCTTACTCTCTCCAAACCTGGCTTCCTCACTTATGAAATGGAGGTGATGGTAAAAATAAGACATTTCTGAGGGATTAATATGTGCCAAAGAGCTTTATGTATACTAATTCATTTACCCTTCACATTATCCATATTTTCAGCCTCATTTTGCAGACAGAGAATTGAGTCAAAAAGAGGTTAAGAAACTTGCTGGAGATTACATAACTGGTGAGTGGCCGACCTGCCTCTGAGAGCAGTAGTCTGGAGAAATGCTTGCACAGTATCAGGCAAGTAGTAACTTCTCAATAAGTATTATCTATTTTTCTTTTTAAAAACTATTGTTCTTACTCTCTCAAGAAAGAACAGCAATAAAGATTTAGGGCTCTGAGATCAAAACTGACTTGGTCTGGAAACCTAGCTGTGCCATTTAAGACCCTGGGCAAGTTCATCTGTGTACCTCGGTTCTTTGCATCTGCAACACTGGGACAACAACGCCTGCCCCGAGGGTGGGCGGCCCGGGCGGCCCTGAGAGGAACTAGGACGGCACGGGAAGAGGGAAGAGCGTTTAGCCAGGAGCAGCAGGAGCACAGACAGTCTCCGCGAATGAAGCGGCCAGTTCTCCATATCGTGGTGGGAAATTTGCAAATTTGGGATGGGGATGGGTGTTGAATTCCATGAACAGGGTCAACCGGGTGAAAGAACAAAGAAGCACCCCTCTTTTTTTCTTTCAAAAGCTGCTGGCGGCGGGGCGGGGGGTGGGGGTGGATATGCAGACCGTGCAGCCTCCTGCAGAGGAAGCGCAGTGGTGGCGCAGGTGCGGGGAGGGGGTGGGGGGGAGGAAGAGGGGGAAAGGGAGCGGAAGCGGACCTAAAGCGGGAAGGATGATTAACCCGGATTTGGCTCACGTGACTCTTTGGGTTGATAATCTGGAGTGTTTCTGCCAGAGGGGTCTGGGATATCCCCAAGACCCAGCCGGTGCCAAGGACCTCGGACTCCTTGAGCGCCTCAGGTCAGCTGCACGCAGGCGCTGCCCGAGGCACATCGCCTCTGGAGGCGCGAAGGAGGCGCTGGAACCCTGGCCGCGGTCCGCCACAGCCAGGGCTGCAGCTTGGGAATGGCTGACCCGGCTGTTTTCATCAGGAAGTTTCTGCAGGATCGTTCTGGCCCCGTTTTCCGCGCCGCATATGGGAAAGACAGAGGGTGTTCCCTATAAAACTGTGGGATGTGTGTGTGACTGTCTTTGATGTTTTTTTAGTGCTGTTCTCCTGATATCCATGTCAACAAAAGGCTTGTTTGTCTGAAACCAAGCATACTCTTAAAAACGGAGCATTAAAAAGATGTGTATTGTACGCTGTCTGATCTGAACAGGTTTTGCACTCTGTGAATCGATTTCTGTAAAAACTTGGAGAAACATGTCAACTTTGAAAAGGGAGAATATATATATATATTTGGGATATCGTTACACCATTTGGGATTGGTCCTGTTACCAGATTTTGCAAAATAAGCTGAGAGTAGACACCCAGGCTTAGGGAACCAGGATGCCCTTTGTAGCTGAAGACTCATCAAAAATTGGAATTGCTCTGGACCCTCCCCAGTACCCACCAGCCCCTCCTTTATGCACAGTGGGGCTTTCAGGAATGAGGCCTGAGGTTGGCTGGGTTAGGGGTCACCTGTGGCAGGGGAGCAGATCTGTCCTCAGGTAACTGGCCTGTGTCCTTGGCCCTACTTAACATCTCGTGCCCCCCCTTCCCCCCAGCAACCTCACGGGTCTGGAACACCTGAGCTTCTAGCGGAAATTCAAAGCACTTTATAGACACCATTCCACGGTCCTTTAGGGATTTGTTACATTTTGATTATATGAGTGCATGAATCAGCTCCCCTAGAAGATTTTAAGTTTCTTAATGTGGGGACTTTGCTTATTCATCCGGGTCCCCCAGACCACCCAGAACAGCACAGGACGTCATAGATACAGATGCAGATACCGAATGCGAACAGGAGTGCCCACTAGGAGATGGGACACAGGAAGCCATGGTGTAAGCTGGTTTTTCCCACGGTCCCTATTAAAGTCAGGGCCGTGAATTCTCAGCTCCACCTACAGTTTGCTGATGTTGCTGCCCACATTCTAAAGTGCATGCAGGTTTGGTAAATCCTCTTTATCCTCACCCTAAATTACTTTCACTCCCAGTCACAACATCTACACTGAGAGTGAGACACAACCTCTAAATGCCGTAGCCCCAACAGAAGACAAAAGCAAACATATATTCAACCTGAAGCCACAGCAGCTGTTCAAAAGGTGCTAAGGATGCTCTCATTTTGGTTTGCTTTTTTTTTTCCTGAAAAGATTTTATATATTTAGTTATTCTTAGAGAGAGGGGAAGGGAAGGAGAAAGAGAGGGAGAGAAACATCACTGTGTTTCTTGCATGCACCCCCAACTGCAACCCAGGCATGTGCCCTAACTGGGAATTGAACTAGCGACCCCCTGGTTCCCAGGCCGGCACTCAGTCCACTGAACCACACCAGCCAGGGCTCACTTTGGTTTTCTAACCCCTGAGTTCCTTGGGAGCTTGGAGCAGTGTTTCCTTCATCTTGGAATCTCAGTGCCCTGGACAGTGGTGCCTGACCTCAGGAAGGTGGTCGACGCGCAAGGGCTGAATAGATAAAGAAGTGGCTGGACTTTATCTCCACGGTTGGGCTTTATCTCTGACTGACAAGTTGTACCATTCTGTGAATATCAGCTGGGGTTCAGGTTGGGTGCCTCTCCCCAAAGTCATGCATTTGCATATCATTATGTAGCAACATCTTCCCTAACATAGTATACCAGGTCCTGTGCACAGCGCTGAGAATGCAAACTCGGATGGCACAGCCCCTCCCTCTCCGGGAGAAGCACCACCAGCACCGACATGGCCAGAGTGCCTTAGGGGCTATAACAAGTGTTGTGAGCAGGCACATGGGAAGCAAAGCAAGATAGGCTCAGCTTGACCCGGGGAGGTCAGAGAAGGCTCCTGGGGGGCAGGAGTAAAATTTCACCAGGGGAAGAGCAAAAGGAAAAGCATTTATGTAGGTGGAATAACATGTGGAAGTGAAGCGGGGCGCTGAGAACAGCGATTTTTGCCCTCAGCCAAATGTAGGGTTTGTGGAGAGTGGTGGAAGATGGGGCTGGGGAGGTGGATGGGGTGAGGGCCTTAGACAGGGGAGACTCCCTGAAGGGGTTATAAGCTGGAAGAGGGAAGACCAGCTTTCCATAGGAGCAAGATCACTCCAGCTGCATTAGACTGAAGGTTTGGAGACTGGAGGTGAGCACAGCGCTGGGAGAGGCTGAGGGGCCCAAGGTCAGTGGCAGTGAGAAAGAGGGGGTGCTGAGGGGCAGAAGGATTAGGGACCTATTGGACGTGGATGTGGCATGTGCTGTTTTGGGGTCCTGAGGCATGGCGGGTGTCTAGAAGTCCAGGTTTCCCGCTTGGATTATTGGATGGATTACCCTGAGTGCCAGGGTGGCTGAGTGTCACTAACTGGGCTAGAGGACGTAGGAAGAGAAGCAAGCCGGGGAGAAGAAAACTGTGAATCCAATTTTGGGTGTGTTAGCTCTAAAGCACCCTGGGGCCCTCAGGGGCCATGTCTAGAAGTTATGTCTGTGACACTGAATCTCAAACCTGAGGTCAGGACTGGGAATACAAATCAGAGAGCCATCAATGTGCAGGCCGGGGTTGCAGCCAAGAATGTGGGGGATAACCTGGAGTACTCTGCAGTGGCAAGAGACTGGAGGCAGAATCACCCTGACCAGGTGAGTCAATTGGTTGGAGCGTCATTCCAATACACCAAGGTTGTAAGTTCGATCCCTGGTCAGGACACATACAAGAATCAACCAAGAATGCATAAATAAGTGGAACAACAATCAATCAATCTCTCTCTCTCTCCCCTCCCCCTTCCTCTCTCTCTGAAATCAATAAATACACATTTTAAAAAAATAATTATACTTAAAAATTTACAGAGTGAGCTGAGGAAGGGGAGATGGAGAAGGAGGGGCTGCAGAGGAGGTAACCAAGAGAAGGGCGGCATGGAAACAGAGGGAGAAGAATGTCTTTGTAAGAAGCGGGTGGCCGTGAGTGTCACCTGCTGCAAGGACAGAAACCTAATGACCGGGCCTGACAATGAAAGCGTCATTGGGAATGTACCCAGGGTGACCTCAGTGACATGCAATGACTTGGGGGAGTGATGAAGACGGAGAAGTGGAGGCCTCAGGTGTGGGCGTGAGAGGAAGGAGGAAAATGTGGGGTAGAGGGGAAGGCGTGTGGGTATCCATTTGTTTTATAATGGGAGAAGCGTCCATGGCCATGAGCCGAGAGGGAGAAGCCAGTGGAAGTTACAGGACGTGGGATGTGAAGCAGAGAGACAAGGACTGAGCTCAGGCCAAAGAAACCATCCCCAATGGCACGAGAGTGAGACACTCTTCACTGTGGTGGATGAATATCGGCGTTGGAGCGAATCTGTCAGTGGGTCAGCGTGCAGTGGCTGTGTGACCTTGGGCGTTTACTTAACCTCTCTGAGCTGCAGCCTCCTAGAAAATAATTAACAACATCAGTGTTGTAGAATCACTGTGAGAATGTGAGGGAGTGCATGATACCTAGCTGACCAGCTTCCTAAACAGGAGGTAATGTTCCTGCATCAGCAGAACGGCTCCACTGCCCACGTCTTCCTAGCGCTCTCCGTCCTGCGAGGAGCCCAGAGCCTGCGCTCTTAGCCAGCACTGCTCTTCCGCAGGCATTTTCCTGCTCTGACAGCCTCGCGTTCTGGGTCAGAAGAGCAGGCTGTACTCCAGAGCTGCAGGTAAAGAGGTTTTTCCCAGGGTGGAAAACCAGCTTGTACCCCCCGCCCCCCATCAAGTGCAGTGGAACTGCTTGTACCAGGGCCCTCGGGACGCAGCCTAGTACCTGACCTTGAGCCTCGGAATTCCCGAACACCTCAGAATCAGAGACAGCAGCACGGGGCTCAGTGGATACTAGAGATTGCTGGCCCAGCGCTCTCGTCTCATGGGAAGGGAACGAGGCCTGGAGAGTTGAGCTGACTTGTCCTTGCTCATCCAGCTCGTACACAGGGTGGGTTCCAGAACCAGTCTAGAACTCCAGACACAGCCCGTTGCCTCCCCATCAGGATCATCTACAGTTCACGCATCTGTGTGCCAGGCTGTCCAGCCTCAACTCAAAAGGC